AAAAAAAAAAAAATTTACATTCCAACAGAAATTTTCTGTTGGAATTCTTTATATTTTTCGTTAGAATAGCTATGCCAATGGATATTCCTACGTATAAAAATCCGTAGAAAAAACGGACCGTCGAAATAGCTAAAATCCAACGGAAAATCCTATGGAAATAAATTCCTACAGCTATTCTAACGGAAAAATTCCGTTGGAATTCCTCAATTATTGAAACATAGCCAACACTTATTCCAACATAAAAATATTCATTGGAATTTCCAACGGAAATTTTTGTCGTTGGAATTTTTCGTTGGAATTGAAGTGTTTTCTTGTAGTAATATAGAGATTAGATCAAATGTGTCCTTATTCTAAAAATGTGGATGTGACTCAGTCTTAGCTATTACATAAGAAACAATGTGTACTCAAAATTTAATTTTTTTATTTTTTAGTTGGTTAAATATTAATGTGTACTCAAAATTTAATTATTTTATTTTTTTAGATGGTTAAATTTTGATTTGATCGTTGACTTTTGGCGTTGACCGTTAACCGTAGCTTATGCCCTGTTGTCCTAAACGTATGCGTCCGCCCCTGATTCGGGGGCCCGGCCCGCGAGGAGAGGGAACGGGGTACAAAAGCATGAGTGAACATCATCCTCCCTATATATTATTCTCGAATGCGCTGAGCCTACATGGCTGCTTCTGGTGCTTCAGAATCCTATTTGGCAAAGAATCATGCTTCGTAATTAGGTTTGGACAAATAATATTGATATATTAATAATTAATAATCTAGGTTCGGACATTCCATAAATATTAAATAGCTAACTTAGGTATTTTAATTCACTTGTACTAATACAACTTTTTAATTCTTTGTAATTTTACATAGTGACACATTAATTGACTAATATATCCCTGACTTTTGATTTGTTTCCTTCAATTAGTTATTTAATTGTAAAAGTATTTTAAAAGTTGATAACTTGTGTATTTTTTATCGGTTTTACATATATAATATATCAAATTAATCATCTTTTGATGATTTTCGATTTGACATCCATATTGTATATATGAAATAATAAATTATATTTATCTCTATAATAATAAAAAATAATAATATTTATTAAAATTCATTAGAAAAATAAAATTATTTCTCAATTGATATATTTATGTTTAATGTAGTTATATGTTGTAAGTTAAAAAATTATTATAATATAACACAAGTAAATCACACGAATAAAAAAATGTCATACTAAATATATAATAATATATATTTTTATAATAGGTATTTAAAATTTTCAATTACTTTTTCTCATTAATTTTAGATTTTAAGAAAATATTAGCAAGCACTCGTATAATACACGGGCGTTGTACTAGTATATAATAATAATCCATAATGGAGATAGTGAAGCTGTTAATATCCACTTGGTTTGAGTTTGACATGTGGATAATGTAGAATATGGAGATAGTCGCACAGGTGATCAATTGTGATTGAGAGAACTGAAATTTGAGCCATACAAAGGTCAATTTTAAATATTATCTGTCCGATTTGGTAAAACCGAACCCTGAAGGGGCGGTCCGATAATGAACCGAGTTACTTTCAATAACCGATAATTGACTATTGTTACAAGTGAGTCGATACAGTTCGCTTTATTTTGTTGTCGGTTCGATTGGATTCGGTTTATTATTTTTGGTAAAAATGCCAGCTCTAGCCTACTACTGTACTATACTGTTGGTATTCATGAACAAAAGGCCTTGAATAATTGAATACATGTGTGCCATATCATTTTATATTTGCATTTATGAGAGAGAAGCACCGATTTTTCTTATTAATATGTGCTTAATATTTAATTTTTTTACTGAATAAAAATTAAATACTTAAAAAAAAAAATTGGTCATGTTAGGTTCGATATCGTTACCAATGTTCACAAAAAAAATAAAAATAAATAAATAAATAAAAATGATCGTTTGTATGATGCAAGGGTGGTGTGAACCAAAAAACCGATTAGTAGATAGGAACACAATAGTGTTAAACCCGTGCGATGCACGAGAGAATATGGTTCAATAACAATAATTATCGTAAGTTAATTAAAAAATTATATTTTTGCAAATCAATTGAAAAAATGAAATTTATCTTAATATTATTAAAAATCCATTATAAATAGATTGATGGAATGACCGGTCACAGTGGTACTCACAAACTAATATTGTTAAAGCAAGATCACTGTTGCGCTGATAGCACAAAATAGAATTTTCTATTTATTGAAACATAATAGGCCGACGTGTATGTTACTAATAATCGTTGACTCTTTTTAATACTCACCAACCATCACATAGGAAATCACAAATGGTAACTGATGTCACATGAATTTTAAAGGTATTTACATATCAAAACGAAGATAACATAGCACATATACTTCAAAGACAACCTATTTTAAGAAGCTATTAATGTTTAAAAAAAAAATCAATACAAGTCAAACTCATTATATTTAGATATTATTAAAAAGTTCATTATGCACAACATTTTCGGTCTAAGCTTAGAAACTCGATCTCCACACACTAAAATTTTTAAACCACTACGATTGGTTACATGTGATCGACACAAAAAGGGAATGCATTTTTTTGAAGCTTTGTTTGTTGATGAGTACATATAAAATATATTTTCTGCGATCATAGTGTCAGTCTTAATCAGGAGATATATAGTCACATCACACGTAAACATGATATGCATATATTAATTAATAAATTGATTATATTTGACATAAAGATGGTAATATGTCCATATTAATATTTTGCATAAAAACGTAATTAGAATCATTATACTTTTTTTATACCATGTTTATATAAGTTAAATAAAATCTTTGCTAACAAAATTTATCGTCCAAAATATAGTATATAGTCCTAAATTTAACAAAATATTTGCTAACAAAATCGTTGCTAATAAAATCATTGCTCATAGCCAAGCAAGATTTTACTGGATCAATGAATATTTGCTAACAAAATTATCCACGGGATTGTTATAAAAATAATATTTCTAATTTTATCCGAAAATTTTTAAGCGGGAAAACTTCATCCATTTTTAGCAAATTAGATTCGTCCATTGTATAGATATAGATATAGATATAGATTCTAACCAATTCCCAAAACATATAAAGTTGTATCAAATTTGAACTAGTCACTAATCGTAACATGGAAGTACTGGAAAAACTCATATAACAAAAATAAAATAAAATAAAATAAAATAAAAAAATTCACAAGTATCCTTAGCCAGATAATTCTACATTACTAGAACAAATAAGAATACGATGACTATATAATAAAATTAATACCCAATATTCAACATGTTTTCCAATTACCATGCTATTAATGCATACTCACAATTGAGTGCGGAATTATGGGGTCTTCTTCAAGGCCTAGTTTTGGTTTGGAAGTTGGGTTACCGCAAGGTGGTGGCGGAAGTGGACAACATGAACGTTATTGATTTGGTGGTACATAATGGCGAGCACACTAGAATTCATAGGAGTATTATCATGGAGATTAAAGAACTTTTGGGAAGAGAGTGGGAGCCGGAGATTGGGCATATCTACCGGGAAGAAAATTTTGCGGCGGACTACCTTGCTTCCTTAGCATCGACCATGCCGGGCGGTCTTCATATACTGAACGACCCTCCCACGAGGTAAAACCGTGGATCGAACATGACGTTCTCAGGGTAGCCCACCCTCGTAATATCGTAGTTTAAGGCTTTAGCCTCCTTCTTTGTACAAAAAATAAAAAAATAAAAAAATAATATCAATGAGCTCGTTTATAAGTTGCACATCGAGTTCATACGAGTGAGTAGCTTACCAATGCATAAAACTCTAAAGGGAAAATAGTGAAAATTTAACAACAACAACAATATTAATAATAATATTCAAGGTTCTCAATGCATAAAACTCTAGGAAACTAGTGAGAACTTAGTAATAATAAAAATAAATTCAAGGTTGTGGTTCTGGTTCAGGCTCAATCTCATGCACAGGCTCAGGCCCAAGCTCAGGCTCAGGTTCAGGGATGTCGGGGATGTCGACCCAATAGCAGACTGATAGACGTCGTCCAGCATAATGAAAAGGCATCAACACGGTCGTGCTCCTCTCACCCAACTCGTAGATTTTCACCGTCCTCCCTATCTTGTCCGTGTAATATATGGAATTGGGTCGGGTTACTCATCTCTCGGAAGAGGAGATGCGGCAAAACCCTCTCCCAAAATAGTCGATGAATATGGTCCACTCATCCACGCTGTCAAGCTCCACACACTCCACCCGACCATCAGCAACCTTCAACCGGAAGACCTTAAACTCCACACTGTCGGTGATGAAAAATTTCATGACCAACAGTAGCCCCTGGCCACCCGGTGCCTCGATGAGATGGCTCTCGTGCCACTTCACGTTCGTTCTCCTCGGTATCGGGACCTCTAGGGTTTGACCCAACTCATCCAACAATGGTCTATACTCGACCCCACCGTTGACCACGTGGACGGTCACAAACTCGTATTCACCATCGTCTGTGTCGACTACACCGTACGTCTCTCATCGGAAGGAGGCAAAGGCGATGAGTATGACTCCTTCACCTGCTTCTCCAGGTGGCGAACAGACAGTGGTGCCGTCCCCTACTCGAAACACGGTCCGCTCCTCGTAGTTGGTTGAACAGAAGATGACATGGCAGTCAGGCTCAGTCGGGGGCCCGGTCAAGACACACCGGTTGTATTCTGCCGGGTGGTGCAAGCATGGAAGACCGATCTCGCACATCGATATTGCATTCCAATTTCCACAGGAAGGAGTTGCCAGTAACCAGGCTAACGAGGACTAGCCACCCGTGGCTGGAGCCGAGTATACGCTTGCAATGCATGATGGGGATTTCAATGGTCTTGCACCGGCGGTCAACAAGACTGTACAAGGACTGTCGGTGGAGATGGGAGCCGTGAGTCGTGATGAGAAGGGGAAGCTTGTCGTGTTTTTCGGTCATCTCCAATTTTTCTGTACTGCAAAGTGAAAACAGAGGAAAACCAACTAATTAATCCTGAATGAGTACAGCAGAAAAATCGATACGTTTTATGTGGGGTAAACACGAAGCAATTCCTGCTTGCAGAAAAAATGAACGACAAAGCGACTAATGCCCTCAAGACCACACCCGACAAGGATGATCCGGGGGGAGATCCGCCGCAAGGTCATCCAGAGTCGGAGTTCCCAGCCCTTTCTCAGAATTTGTTCCCAGCATCTAAACGGTCGAGGATCCGGAATCGCCAAGGAGAACTACTGGAGCACCAATATCGTCCGACATCGACGAACCACCCTGTGGAAAACCTAGCAAAGCAGGGTCCTCAACCACTGAAATGGTCGTTCCGAGACATGGTCAACAAACAGAAGAACCACGTGGAGATGATCTCCGACGACGAAGGGGGCGAAGAAGGAGAGGAAGATGAGGAGGAGGAGGTATCATTGGACTTTTCCAGCCCCACTCCGGAGATCACGGTTAAAAGAAAGTTTTTTGAGCGGATCAATAAGGAGTGGCAGCATGTGGTTGTCGTTAAACCTTTTGATACATCGATCTCGATGGTTTCCCTGTATAACAGGCTAACCAAGATGTGGCCGTTCATGTCAGGATACACTATGATGGACTTAGAGAACGGGTTCTTCCTTATTGACCTTCTTAATCAGGAGGATGCAACGAAGGTACTCACGGGGGGGCCTTATGTTGTAGGTAATGGATATTTGCACGTCCAACCATGGAACCTTGATTTTGATGCAACAAAAGCAGAGGTGACCACCACTGTGGCATGGATCCGATTACCCGGCATGCCTGCACACTTCTATCATAAGAAGATTTTTCGCATGGTAGTCCGGATTGTAGGAAGGGTATTCAAAATTGATCACCAAACAGCAGCACGTACCTGGGGCAAATTTGCTCGCCTTGCAGTCCTAGTGGACACCACCAAACCATTATGTGCGATTTTTAAGATTAACGGAAAGATTCAAAAGGTGGTCTACGAGAATTTGTCGAATATCTGCTTCCAGTGTGGAAGAATTGGGCATTCTACAGCTCTGTGCCCTCATATAACACCAGAACCAGAGCATGCCAGTGATCCTAAGACAGCCCTCCAACACATGGAAGTTCAAGGTGGTGGAAAAGACACCGGAGGCACGGGAAATCAAAAGGCAAACGAGGATGGTGAGGCTGCACCGGTGTATGGGCCTTGGATCCAAGTCCCACAACGCACGCGCCAACCTTACGCGCGGAAAGAGAAGGGGGCGATCGCTACGCAACCGGCGAAATTTACGCGAGTGGAATCTCGTCCAGGATCCCGGTTTGATGTTTTGGAAAGCGAGGATCTTAGAGGATCGTACCAGGCTTTTGAATTTGGGGCGCATTCTAAGGGAATTAATGAGAATTATGATTTTATTCCGAATAAGCAGACATCGGATAGAGAGGACATGACGTGGCATAGGGTCATGGGTAAGAATAAAAAAAACCCAGAAACAATATTGGCAACAATAAAGGTGGTGAATCTAGTGGGCAAGTAAAGGGTGTTGGACCTGAGAATATATTGTCAACTGCAAGGGAGAAGGCCCAAACCCAGACCTCTGGGCCAACAAGAACCAAAATGACAACTACTATAAGGACCGATATACCTGTTCGAAATTCCGGCCCTCACCAGACCGAGCGGATTCAAGTAGGAGTCGGGCTTGACCCATCTAAACACCATGTTGTAGTCGTCCACCCTGACCAATCCACATCTAACCTACACCAAAGCCTGCAAACGAACCATGTGATCTCTCCCGACGTCTCCATGATGTCGGAAGGGGAGCATGGCCTCCGACTCCAGGAGCCATGGCCTGAGGAAGAGAGAGCACAATGGGACGCCGAAGACAACCCTGAGGCCGTAGCCCAAATTATGGACCTTGAGGACGAGTCGGACATGCAAGTCCATCGCCCCGTCTAATGGCGTTCGCCACCATGTTTCTTACATTATTTTTCATGAATATTATGACGTGGAATACCCAGGGCGCAGGCTCAAATGGATTCAGAGGAGCGTTCTCAACTCTAATTCACCTCTACAGACCAGATGTTGTGGCTCTATTTGAACCAAGGATCAGTGGGTCAAATGCAGACAAGTTCGTGCATTTTAGTAAATTTGAGAACTCGTTTCGTATCGAAGCGCAGGGATTCTCCGATGGAATATGGATCATGTGGAAGGATGATGTGTAGTTGGAAGTTCTCAGCTACACGAATCAACTAGTCCACACCCGCATAGGTAAGAATGGCTTCGGCTCACTGGTGTCGTTTGTATACGCTAGCCCAACTGCTGCTATCCGGAAGAGGTTATGGATTAGTTTGGAGGAGTTGGCGGCAGGCATATCTGAACCTTGGCTTATCGGGGGCGATTTCAATTGCCTCCTCCGTCGGGAAGATAAAGTGGGTGGTTCCTCTACTTTTTGTAATATTAGTCGGGACTTTTCAGAGTGGTTGTTCAATAACTGCATCGAGGAGGTCGCTACGGATGGACATCTTTTTACATGGGTAAGAAACGGAAGGGATGGAAGATTGGCAGAAAAACTAGATAGATTTGTCGCAAATTTGCCATGGATGGAGACCTTTGAGACTGGCCGTGTCAGGCTCTTGCCACGGACTCATTCGGATCATTCCCCTTTACTAGTGGGTTTTGGTGACCGCCCTGTGGAACCGCAAGGTACGAAACCCTTTCGTTTCTTGGCGGCATGGCTCCTCCACCCGGGATTCCACGATTTGCTTTCCGGGTCGTGGACGGAATCCTTGAGTTTTACTGAGGCGACAAGGAATTTTGTAGAGAAAGCAAAAGAGTGGAATTTTACAGTCTTTGGCAACATATTTCAAAAGAAAAAGAGGCTCTTAGCACGGCTAGGTGGCATTCAAAAGTGCAGAAGGTTTTATGTAACAGGGCGGCTTATGAGGCTAGAACACCAACTTCGGGGAGAATTGGAGGAGATTATATTGCAAGAAGAGCTACTGTTAGTGCAAAAATCTTCCAGAGAGTGGGCTTATTTGGGTGATAGGAACACTGCATATTATCACAGACAAATTAAGCAGCACCGCCGACGTCGGAGAATTACCGAATTAGTGGATGAGAATGGGCACTCAGTAACGGATCAAGCGACACTTCAAAGCCTGGCCACCGATTATTTTAGAAACATTTATACAGCCGGGCCGATTCTGACTCAACTCCTCGACGTGCCGAATTTCTTCCCGAGAAGAGATGTGGTCAGACGACAATTAATGGAGGCTGATATCCAAGACGAGGAGATTCACACGACACTAGAAAGCATGGGTCCATTAAAAGCCCCGGGAGCCGATGGGCTAAATGCATTATTCTACAAGAAAAATTGGGAAGTAGTAGGCCCGTCGGTCCGAACCTTTATCCGAAAAATGTGGGAAGATGGGGTTGTACCCAGCGAGGTAAACCAAACACTCTTGGTCCTGATCCCAAAAGTTGATAATCCGTCCTCCATTCGACAGTTCAGGCCGATAATCCTTCTTAATGTCGTCTACAAAATTTTCACTAAAATTTTAGTGAATAGAATGAAAGACTCTCTGCCAGAATTAATCCATCCAGCTCAAGCAAGTTTTGTCCCGGGACGACAAATTACTGATAACATTGTAGTAGCCCAAGAATTGATCCACTCAATGCGGATTAAGAGGGGGGCGAGAGGCCATATGGTCATTAAAGTGGATCTTGAGAAGGCCTACGACTATCTTAGATGGGATTTTATTGAAGAGACGCTGCGGTTTGCCGGATACCCGAGCAAGTTTATTACGGCAGTTATGGCAAGCATAAACTCGGCATCGATGCAGCTTTTGTGGAATGGTACGACTAGCGAGGAGTTCCATCCTACCAGAGGGATTCGGCAGGGAGACCCTATGTCCCCGTATATATTCGTGTTGTGTATGGAGAGATTGGCCCAGATCATTGAAAAAGCAGTCGCTGACTCCGTGTGGCGCCCAATCTCGGTGGGTAAGGGAACAGTCAAGGTACCTTTCCTAATGTTCGCCGATGATCTCCTTCTTTTTCTTGAGGCTTCTGATGATCAGGTCCAAGTGCTTAACCGAGTCCTCGACTATTTCTCTTCTCACTCAGGGCTTAAAGTTAGCCCGGAAAAGACGCTAGCTTTCTTCTCTAATAATATTGATAATCAGGAGCAAATTAGAATGGCCGAATTGCTTAACTTCAGGAGGACGAACAACTTGGGAAAGCATCTTGGCGTCCCGATCTTCCACAGTCGAGTAACTAAGGAGCATTTCACCCATATTGTCGAAAGAACAGAGTCACGACTTAATGGATGGCGGATGAAATCTCTTTCAATGGCCGGGAGAGTAACTCTTACCCAATCCCTCATCTCCGCTCTCCCTTATTATTCCATGCAGTCCGCTCGCCTACCGTACTCTACTACGGATGGAATTGAGAAAATGAGCCGTGCGTTTGTATGGGGAGGAACCGAGGAGAAGAACCGCCTACACCTAGTCGCTTGGAGCGAAGTGTGCAAGCCGAAAGAAGAAGGAGGACTGGGCATTAAAGATCTTCGTCGCATGAACAAGGCGCTGCTAATGAAACTTGGGTGGGGGCTCTTAACGAAGAGAGATTCATTATGGGCTCGGGTCCTAACAGCAAAGTATGGATTTGAGCCATCCCCAACAGTGGAGAGCATCAAGTGTAATCAGGGGTCTCATCTGATGCAAGCGTTGAAAAAAATTTGGCCTGATGTAGTCAGAGGGGTTCGATGGATCATCGGAAATGGGGAGAAGGTCAGATTTTGGCGCGACTTATGGCTAGGCACGGAAAGACCTCTGATCGAGTACATTCAAGCACAGCCGATAGGAGTAAACGTCGATGCAAAGGTGGCAGAGTATGTCGACGAATATGGGCGATGGAGATGGGACCTATTTCATGGGCTCTTGCCGTCAGGTATTATTCTGCGCATTGCTAGCATGCTTCC